ATATCTTATCCAATGCGTCAAATACAGGGTCAGTCTTCAGGTTCTGCACGGGAATACATGAGCGATAACGCACAGTGGTATCAATGCAGGTGAGAAACTTAGCATTCTCGATCTCCATGTGATCAATGCAGACGGTAATAGATCGATTATGTTGATACAATTCCTCTGGTGGACTGAAGAAGTCGTCATACGTCTTCTTCGGAGTTGGTCTTGTTGACTTGCCTTTCAATGTAGAGGCGTCAGGTCCAAAGATTGCTTCGGCATGATTGATCGCTTCCTCAGTGATAGGACAGTTCTTGATGAGACCAGATCGGATCGCATACTTCAGCCTTTTGGTGCTTGGAGCATTGAGTATGTGCATCGCACTTCTCCCTTCCATCGCAGCCTTGACTTGTCTTGGAGGGAATCCTTCCTTGTTCTTTTGAACCGTTGCCATCTTCACAGTCATCCCAAGTCCAGCATATTTATTCTGTTTTGAAGAAAGTTCGAAATGGGGTTGTTTATTTACGCTGCTTAACTGGCGACAATACATCGCACTTGTCTCTTTGGCACCTGGTTTGACATCCGCTCCAAGTTGCTCCAACACATATACACCCTTACAATTAACAAATCGCATCTGTCTGTCTCCATCCCAATGCACAACAAAGGCATTGTCAACATCAGTATCCATGGGATATCCCCCAGTTTTCTGTGAAGTCAGCTTTCTCTTTTTTTTGGTGAGTCGATGTGGTCATTTTCACCCTCTTCTGCACGAAACTTCAAAAATCGACTTTCACTTATTGCCTGCCAGAAAGAAACTTCGACGACAAGGAATTTTATAAATGTTCACAATGCCGTTAAGTATTCAACTTCATTTGCCAGATTAAATTTTAAAGTTTGTTTTATTTTCACAGCAATTGCGGAACATCTGTAATGACCCCAAAAAAACATGTAAATTTTTCACAGAAGTTTCGGAACATCTGTGAAAAATTCACAGAGATTTCGGAACATCTGTGAAAAATTCACAGAATTTTTGACTCAGACGATAGAAAATTCACAGAATTTTTGA